CAGAATTTAGCTTATCAATTTTTCAAGTAGTCTCTGGATCCCCGAAAGTTTCCATGCTTTACATCGTTTACTCTCGGTATTGGCTAGATTGCAAACCATCATTCAGTTAGTAAACCTTTTCAATGCTTATAAATTCCATTTGTGCTCAAACCATTAGACATTGTCGCAATCTCTATCCCAGTAATTCACAGTGTCTCAAAATCTCTAAATCTGAATTTATAATGAAGTTGTTTTGTTAGCATCTCTCGCTTTCTTATCAAATTCTGCGTATGAATTCGTTGGAGAGTTGTCAACATTCTCCATGAAATTATGCTGTTTCCATTGTGCTTCAATGCTCCTCAAAGTAAGCACTAGATTGAGGTTACTGTAGGACTGAGATACAAAATTTAAATTAACCTCTGCCAATGAGCAAAAAAAAATTTTTTTTGGAAAAAATAGAAACTATGACACCAAATCAATCTGCTCGCTAATCATTGTAAAGCTTGCAATTCCAAAAATACGGTTTGAAAGTTGTGTTTTTTATACCACTGTTTCCACACTCAAGAGGTCGACTGCACCAATGCGACCATTTTAAAAAACTTTACAGTTCTAATTTTCAGGCGTATTTTTTATTGTCAGGTCTGAATTCCTGTCTTTCACAGTGATTAGTCGTTTGAAGCAAGATCTGTGCTATCTTCCACCCATGTTCTCAAAGTCTGGGGTGCTTGCTTCAGAAGATGTGCGACGATTTTTACGTTAACCATCAGTCTGCCACGTTGGGTGGGATCCTGAAGAAACTGCGGTCTTCTTAGAACATCAGTGGAAGATATCCAAACTTCGGGTTCACATAGTTGTGTTGACCTATATCAATAAGCCGTGCGCCAATTTTCCTTTGTCTGTGTTGCTACTCTGGATTTCAGCTGACAATGAGAAACAAGAGGTGTAAAGACTTTTGGGAACCCTGTAGCATCAGATCATCGGTTCGCTAGTGCGAGTCTTGACCAGGTAGAACAATTATACTTCATGTTTATGTTCTTTCGTACATTTCTATGCTCTGCAGTACTTTTGTCCCCCCTAAAAGCAGTCAAAAAAATTTCACGTTTATGTACATTCAAGTATA